TATTCAGAAGGGCATCTTTCCCCTTCAGAATAAGACTGGAATTATTCAGTAGGGGATCTTTTGTATTTTTTGACTGATTATAAAAGTCACCAATATGCTCGGCATAGGCAGATCTTAAATGGCTATTGCCTAGATGTACATTAAAATTTCCAAGCAGTATTGTTTGCGCTCCATGAAATTTTTGTGTCAGGATCATATATGTACATTTCTAAATCAGACCAGCAGTGCTCATAATAGAAAGAAGACGAGTAAGATGGAATATAAACATTTACAACCAAAATTTCCCAATCCTTGAAGGTCAGGAGAATGGCCATTGAAATAGATCTTAAAGATGGTAGTAGTAAAACAGCACAGACCACTGAGGTGGATATCAGACAAGACAACCCTCCATTTGGGCGACCTCTAGCTACTGCAGGAGTTGCGGCAAGAGTGTATGAAGTAAATCCATTTAATAACAACTCAAATAATAACCATGTCTCCTGAATAAAGATAATATCAAAACTTCATAAATGACAAAAATGATGGATTTTGTTCAGCCATCCAGACACATTCCATGAAATGCATTTTAGGTCATGCTCACTTTGAATTGCAAATTATCAATTTGAACCAGGATAATCCATGGATTATTCTAAGTCAGACATTGAACTCGCCATTGAATTTATTTCAATAATATCAGGAGGGTTATTCTGGGCATTATCTAGGGGTGCCTCGGTTATCAAACAGAGATTGGGATGATCAGCAGACACTGTCAAGCTAGAACTGGGAACCCTTTTATTTATTATTACCATGAGCTCCAGGGGGATTTTCATTCTGTCCTTAACTTGTGTCTCCACTGGGCATCCTTGTGTGGGCAGTTGATGGGTTGCTAGGTCATCATTGGAATTTGGAGGCTGTTCTAGATCCCTCAAAGTTGCAACCAGGGATTCCAGGCAATTAAATAAGGATGCCCACACATCAGCTGGCAAATTACTAAAGGATAAGATGAGTCTCTACCTCCTCTTCTGGACAAGCAAGGCCTGGGTTGATCTTTTCTGTTGAATGTCTATCAGCCTTACAATTTTTATAAAAGTTTTGTAATAATTTTGCCAATCCATTGGGTGATCTTCTAAAATTTGAATAAGGTTTTCCTCTGTATGTTTCTCCTGTACATAAGCTAGGGTCTCTCTTTCCATTTCTCTATTGTACCCACACAAGAGATGTGCTTTATTTTTAAAATATCATATAGCAGTTATACCCCTCACAGCTAATTCCTTTCTTCTGCTATAAATCCTATTGGTTATTATGCTATCTTTCAATATTACTATCACATGTGCTTGGTTATAATTGTACAATAAGTAGTCCACATTTGGAATTTGGGACATGGAAGTTAATTCAGGGATTATAGGTTCTAGAGTGCTAATCAAGTTCCATTTGCGTTCATTCTGGGTAAGTTTCCCTTTTTGTTTTGGGTATCCACAGAATGCTGAAGTGTTAGCCATTAATCTTAACTTCCATCTAGTTCTAGTCTCAGGCTGCATCAACTGGGCTGTTAGTTGATTATTATTCTTAGGGTTACTATTTATCACGTAAGTCCATGGATCATTTCCCACTACATCTATTTTATCCTCAATGTCCTATATGGGGGAAGTAATAGCTATTTGGTCTAAATTTGTTAGGGCCTGGCCAGTATCTTAACTTTTCAAAGTTCCTTTTGGATCTAGAAGGTTTTCTTTCTTTCTTTGGTTTCCTCTCAATAAGTTTAAATAGATTATGGAAATCTATCTTGCCAGATGACTTTTTTGTCTTGTTTGTGTGCATAACATTCTAAGTCTTTTTTGTACATCCATTCAACCGTACCTGTGCCGTTTTTACCCTTCTTTTTAGAATTTTCCCCCTTTGGACAAATCATCCAGTGGAAGTGGGGGTGCAGTACTTTGGTCAGTTTGCATATTATTGTTTCTGGGTAAATTGCTTATTGCATTTAAGTTGATTAATGTAGTTAGTAGCTCATGAGATTCAAAAAGGAATGATTTAATTAACTTCATCTCAACTATATTTTTTACCCAGTGGAATAGTTTGCTGATATCAGACTTATCACTTGCCTTAATTATTTTTTCAGGGGTCCTTTTTCTACTTGGGTGCCTCCTTGTGTTAATTCCTCTATTGGTTTTAATATAAAGCCATCTACCTCCTTTCTTCCTTTCTTCTCCACCCCACTGGTGTCCAGTGCTTTTTCTGCAGCTGCTAGTTCCATTGCCAGGTTAGAACCAGGATCTTCTTTGTTTGATTCTATTATTGTACACCTATTCTCAATTGACTAGTGTAAAGTTTCATTTGTGTGTTTAATGCCCTAATTTTTGGGAGAAAAGAAATTAATGATTTTCTTTTTCTCCCTTTTCTTCTAAACAGCTGCCATGTGCTGTGGAAATCCCATGTTTTTCATACCCCTGTCTAGTAAAAACCATTATTCAATAAAATCAGATTATTGCTGTAATAGACTAAATTCAGCAAATAATAATAATAAGATAACAAGATAATAGGAAAAAAAGTAAGATAATAATAAACTAAAATAAATTCTCTCTCTATATAAAACTATAAAACTATAAATGCAAAAAATTCCAAATTCGATTCGACTAATCAATACTAAGTTCAGAAAATACTGAAATATATATATAGTTGTAATAAGTCCATCAACCAGAATTGAAAATTAAAAACTGTGGGGAGCTCGCACAAACTTGAATGGGATAATAGAAATACGAACAGACACAGAGCAGGCACTCCCAAATTTTCTTTAGAGTTCTTAAGCCCACAACTGGGTGTCCATCTTGGCTCCCAACCATCCAAAGACAAAGTAAAGCTGTCTTAGGACTTTAGCTGTCTTCAGACTTTGTGGCAACAAATATCAAATTTTGGAGGGAGTTTCATTCTCAAAGTGGAGAAGTAATCTCAAATGGTTTGCCACACCTGCTGTTCTTACTCCATGAATGTCTACTTGATAGTGAGTACTTGATAATGAGTACCTGCTTTATACAGAAGTTACAAAGCTTTTCAATTAAAGTTATAGAAAGTGGGGCACTTCAGCTGGCTTTCCTTGGGTTTGGAGGTTCTCACCAATTAATCAGCAGTCGAGCAGTGTAGAGGAAGTGGGAACGTAGGGACTGCCATCAAACAAACAAAGCTTTTATTCCCTGCCTTGGGTGAGCCTTCTCTTCCAAGCCTCTTGGCCTCAGCAACGACTTGTCCTTAAAGTAACAGGAGTATACACACACTCTTTAAACCAGTGTTCCCCAACCTTTTCCAGTCCGCGGACCAGCTGGGGAAGGCAGGGCACCTCCACACTCACACGCATGCACGAATAAGCGTCTGTGCTCTCTTGCACGGGTGGGCGGGTGCAGCGCTGCCATTTGCGCATGACCAAATGGCGATGTGTGCTCGTGCGGGCCTGCGTCTCCCTGCACACATGTGCAAATAGCGGCATGGCACTCGTGTGGGCAAGCTGGAGCGTGCGGGGGTGCAAACAGGTGGCACGGGGGGCGGGGGGAGGTCTTTCTTGGCAGCCTGGTCTGGCCCAGGCTGGGGACTGGGACTGGGACTGGGCCGGGGACTGGGGGTTGGGGATCACTGTTTTAAACAGAATTTAGATATTTGATGAATCATTTTAACCCAGTAGCTCCAGCTTTGGGTCCTCAGATGTTGTTGATGTCAGCTCCCTGAAGCAGCAGTTATATTTTGCTTGATTATACTTGCCCTATCATCAAAGGTATGCATAACAAACCGCAAAGTCTAGTTTGCAAGTTGTTTGTTTTCGGATCTGTTTCTGTTTCTTTGTTCGGCGTGAAGCACAGCAAGAATACTAATAATTACTAGGCTGTCTTGGACAGGATAATTGTTTAAAGAAAACTTTAAAACATTAGGCTGGAGGACACAACACAAACAAAGGATGTTGTCTCACCCAACTGGAACCAGAACCCTAGTCAATATAAGGTTTCTAGCTTTCTTGTGTATAAATTTGACTAGAATGTGTCTTTGGGACTTTGTTCCTTGTTGCAAATTGGGAGTTAATTCTGTAGATTTGCCCCTTCATGGATTGTTGCCTTGTCATGGGGAGGGGGCTTGAGTAATTCAGAGAAGCTATGGGTTATGCTGTGGAGGGACACCCAAGACGGACAGGTCACAGTGAAGAGTTCTGACTAAACGCGATCGACCTGGAGCAGGAACTGGCAAGCCACTCCAGTATCTTTGCCAAGAAAACTCCATGTAGATTTGATTGCAGTCCAGTAACTCTTATTCAGTCTCAAAATGATCCTGTATTAGTGTGGAAAATGAGTCTTCCAGATCTGTTTATGCTTGATTATGAACATGTCATAGATAAATTTTAAAAATATTCCTGTCTGTTGGTGTTGTTCCTTAGTTTGACTGGGGATCATTTCACTGTTTCCTGACTGCCAACAATACAAAACAATAGCTAAAATTCTGTTTTTATAAATCCTGCAGCATAAAGCTGTTCATAGCTGAGCAATTATCTGAAAATTAACCCCTACTACATGTCCTCACTAATCTCTTTTATTGCTGGGGACCCATGGAGATTAAGGGATGGTAGGAGGAAATCTCATGGATTCCAGATGATGGAAGTTATTACTCAGGACATGTAATAACTTGGTGTGGGAGGGGGAATTGTTTCATTATCCAATAGTTGCCCTTGCAGATGATGTCATCAGCCCTATGCCACAGAATTGACGTGAACAAGATTTTGACCAATGCTTTTTTTTTATAAATCAATTTGTAAACAGAATACTGGACTTGATTCCTGAAAATGTTTTGCATTATATCAGCAGTAGATTAAAATATCTTCTTAATAATTATTGCCTGTTTTAAAATTTTGGTTGGGAATCTTTCTAAACAGAGTTTGAAGGATATGTTAGGAACATATTTGATATAGAATGTGATTGTTTTAACTTTATTTAAGAAGATAGCTTTTCTTGCTGACACAAACAGAAAATTGTTCTTTCTCTTTTTTTTAGCTATCCAAGACCAACTTCTCCAACAACAACGATTTCCGGGCTCTTCTGCAATCCCTATATGCCACTTTTAAGGAATTTAAAATGCATGAGCAGATTGAGAATGAGTACATCATTGGTTTACTTCAGCAGCGCAGCAGGACTATATATAATGTACACTCGGACAACAAGTTGTCAGAAATGCTAAGCCTCTTTGAGAAAGGGTTAAAAAACGTGAAGGTAAGCCTCCAGATAGAAGGCTTTGGGTATCTGCATTGTGTAATGTGAAATTGCATTTCTAAATCAGTTGCCTTAAGTTTGTTTTTTGTATTGCAGTCCTAGGCATGTTTGCCTGGAAGTAATTCCCATTTTGTCAAGTAGTTTAACCTTGCTTATCTGTAAAGTTATGGTGTCCTTCTTGGCAAATTGCCCCTTTCTCTTGAGAATACTTTAGTCAGTATTATAAGAACCTCTGCATCATGACTAGTCTGAATAACTGTCCTAGTAAAACATGAATCACAGAGAAATGTAGAGGACTAAATGGATCGTGGACAATTAAAGGTTGATAGTGACAATCAAAAAATGCATTCATTCATTCATTCATTCATTCATTGAAGATACACTGAAACTGTAATCTTTACTACCTGTCTGTAACACAGACTATACAATTTCTTATCCATATTTCACCTTTATCAGGAGGCATACCTTTGGAGATTTCACATCCCTCCCCCTGTTTATTGAATTCCACTGGTGTTATCATCAAGTGGATACACAATTGGCTACAGAGTCATACTCAGAGGGTGATAATTAATGACTCCTTTTCCAACTGGGAGGAGCTAACAAGTGGGATACCCCAAGGCTCAGTCCTGGGTCTGGTGCAATTCAACATTTTTGTTAGTGACTTGGATGAGGGAGTACAGGGAATACTTGTCAGATTTGTGGGTGACACAAAATTGGGTGGAATAGCTAATACCCTGGAAGACAGAAACAAAATTCAAAATGATTTTGATAGGCTGGAGCACTGGGATGAAAATAGAATGAAATTCAACAGGGCTTCAAATATCTATATTTTGCAAACCGAAAAACAGAGCAAAGTAGCACCTAGATGGAGGATGAGTGCAGTGGTGCCTCACTTAACGGGCACCCCGTTTAACGATGAAATCGCATAGCGACGAACTTTTTGCGATCGCTTTTGCAATCGCATTGTGATGCTTTAAATGGGAAAAATCGCTTTGCGATGATCGGTACCCTGTTTCGCTTACCAATCATCGCAAAGTGGTGATTTTCTAACAGCTGATCGGCGGTTCCAAAATGGCTGCCGTGTAAAAAAATGGCTGCCCACTGTTTTCTGGGACGGATTCCTCGCTTACCGGGCAGCGAAAATGGCGGCCGTATGGAGGATTTTCGCTTTAAGGTGAGTTTTAAGCCCATAGGAATGTATTGAAGGGGTTTCAGTGCATTCCTATGGGCTTTTTAATATTCCATAGCGACGAAATTGCTTTGCAGCGATTTTTGCTGCACCGATTATCGTCGCTATGCGAGGCACCACTGTACTTGCTCTCAGAAAAAGAAACCAAATACACAGTTACAAGATGGGGAATACTTGGCTCAGCAATATTATAAGTGAGAAGGATCTTAGAATCATTGTAAATCAGAAACTGAATATGAGCCAGCAGTGTGATGTGGCTACAAAAAAAGGCAAGTGCTATTTTAGGATGAATTAACAGAATTATAGCCTTGAAATACCACTATGTGCTAGTTCCCCTCTATTCAGCAGTGATTAGGCCACACTGTGAGTATTGTGTCCAGTTAATGAGCCAACATTGTTGGCTCATATTCAGTTTGTGATCTACGATGATTCTAAGATCCTTCTCACTTGTAATATTGCTGAAAGATGTGGGCATGTTTAGCCTTGAGAAAAGAAGACAGAGGGGGTGATATGATAATACTTTTCAAATACTTGAAAGGCTGTTGTACAAAGGAGGGGCAAGATCTGTTCTCAAGAGTGCAGGACACATAATAATAGGCTCAAGTTACAGGAAGCCAGATTTCAGTTGAATATCAGGAAAAACATCCTAACTGTTAGAGCATTTTGACAGTGGAACCAATTACCTCGAGAGGTGATGAGTGTTTCAACACTGAAGGCATTCAAGAAAAACTTAGACAACCACCTGGCAGATATCATTTAATTTGTACTCCTGCATCTAACGTGGTTGGAGATGATGGCCTTATAGGCCCATTCTAACTTAACTGTTATATGATCCTGGTATTTAAGAGCTTAAATCATAATAGCTATGCCACCATGACCAGAATTGTATTGACTATTTATGCCTTTGCAAGAGCAGAACTGTATTGAATATTTATGCATTTGCAAAAGCATACATGGAAGCTGCTGTGGCTAGTTCGCATAGCTCACGGAGCAATTGTGGAAGTTCCTGTGGTTAACTTAGCAAAATTTGGATCACTGCTTGACATCAGAGTACTTCATCTCGTATGTCTCATCTCCCACAAAGCCGGGACCTAGTCAATTAAACACAGTTAATCATGGTAATGTCTGAGGTTCCTATTGCACATGCTTAAATATCTGATAGGATTTTGGCCAGTGAGTATCAAAACTGTTTCAATGTTTTGCTCCACAAATCATTTAAAAATGAAACTAAGGCAACAGACATCACCCAAGGGAAACATTAATATTCAGGTACAGTACTAAGGTTTTAGAAAATTTATACATTTTACTAAATTGTGGTAAATGTTTTTAGAAGTGATGTTATTGCAGTGATCTTACATCCTGTTTGTACTTTGTAATTGAAGTGCAGTTCTATTGTCACTTCATATTTTATTTCATTTCATGATGTTATAATTTCATAACATCCAGAATCCTGTTGGTGTCCTGGTAGGGTTGCCATAGCTAATTGAGGGTCTGGGATGTGTTGTGGTTGAGGGTCTAGTTGTGTAAGATGTACCCTAGCACCCCATCAGTCAATATAAAACCTTACAAAAATGCCAGTAGGATTTTGAGCAATATCAAATTAGATTCTAAGCGTTACTTCAAATCTTACAAGAGATTCTCTGATGTGATTTTTTAAATTGTTCCTAGAATGAATGTGAACAGCTAAACTATGCGAAACAGTTAAAGGAGAGGCTGGAAGCTTTCACCAGGGATTTCCTTCCTCACATGAAAGAAGAGGAGGAGGTAAGAATTGCAAGCAAATGAATGTTTTTTAAAAACAAGTTCCTTTAACATTTCAAGGCAGAGCAGCTCAGAGAACAAGAGAGTTTTGTGACACTTTAAATATTAACAGGTTTTATGTGGCATAAGGTTTTTCAGACAGAAACTTGATTATGTTTCCATCAAGTCAAAACCATGCTGCTTATATACCACCCCATAGCACTTAAAGCACTCTCTGGATGGTTTACAAATTAATTATGCAGGCTACACATTCCCCCTCCCCCCGGCAAGCTGGGTACTCATTTTACTGACCTCAGAAGGATAGAAGGCTGACATATGTCCAGAAGGGTGGGATAAAAATCTAAATCTAATAAATAAAATAAAAATAAACCTTCAGCTGGCTACCTGGGATTGAATCCTGGATTGTGAGCATAATTTTGCCTGCAGTACAACAGTTTAACCACTGCGCCACAAGGCTCCTAACTAGAGATGGGGATATTTGTATATGAATATGGATATCCTACCCACAGGTGGAGATAACAAGAAACTGTCCACTCATGATTCCGCCACTGACACAAGCTCGACGGAACTTTTCCTATCGCTCTGTTGTCCACAGTGGATTAGCCAGTCCTAGCAGAAGGTGGGATGACGAGCCCTTGTTATCTCCACCTGTGGGGGAAATATGAATACCCCGATCTCTACTCCTAACCCCTTTCAGGGTTTTCCAGGTAGATCAATACTCATAAGTAGTTTACTGTTCTCTTTTTCTGAGTGCACCCTCTGACTCTACTTCACAGGAAGCACAGTACGAAATCAAACTACCAACCTCGTGCTCTGAAGCTAGATACAGTACCTAAACCACTAAACTTGGATTACAGATTCCATAATTCTCAATCCTGGGAGTTCTGTCTGAGGGACAGAGAGTTTACAAACACCTAAATGTGGCTCTAAGATGAGCCTAAACTGGAAGACTTTAAATGAAGTGGTGAAGGCTTCTTAAATGAAGAATTATGGGATTTGTAGTCTAAAAAAATTTAAAATCCAGTCTTGTTAATCATTAAGTTAGAACAAGAACTGCTGGATAGCTCAGTGGTTTAGGCCATTGGTTGTGGAGCCAGAGGTTGGGAGTTCGAATTCCCCACTGTGCCTGCTTGACAGGGTCTGGACTCGATGATCCAGAGGATCCCTTTCAACTCTGCAGTTCTAAGATGATGATGATAAGAATCTTTGTTGTTCCTTTAAAAAGTCCTCTGTCAATTTTTATAGTAAAAAGTGTGTACTTGGAATACTCTGATTAGAATTTTAACTCTTTAAAAATATAGATTTTGCCCTTTTGGCCTTAAAGAAATTGTTACATGGTGATTTGTACCATAAATTAGAATATATTTAGAAAACTATGAGAAGGATAAATAGAGCTGCAAGCTTATGAAATTTTCAAATGAAAAGGTTCATCTCTGAACCTGAAGATGAGCTTATTTATTCATAGGATTTTTAGTGCAAGAGTTTAATAATTAATTAATTAATTATGTCTTGTGGTTTTACAGAACATGTTTCTGAAAGTGAAGCTCCAGTTAGGCATATTTGTCATTTAGTTTTCTTTCAACAGTGTTGTATTCTTGCTGAAGAATACTATATTGAGGTGGGCTGAGTAATCCTGTGCACATAGGGGAAAGAGAGTATGTGGCAGAAGAGTTACCTAAGCCCTGCTTCACTCCTGCTGTCCAGAGTGAAAAGTATGTTTCTAATCTTCTTCCCATTGTTTCTATCGAGAGGTGAAACAGCTACATTGTCTATGGAGCTGCTGTAGCCACCCTATTGATCAAGAATGTGTTGGGCAACAGGAGGCTTCTGAATATAAGATGATGGTTCCAAACCTTGGATAACCCAGGTGTTCTTCGAATGCAACTCCAAAAAACCCTGGCCAGCACAGCTAGTGGTGAAGGCTTCTGGGAATTGCACTCCAAGAACACCTGGGTTACCCAAAGTTGGAAACCACTGATCTAGGCAACTCAGATCCTTCCCAAACACGTGTGATATGTAATTGCTGCTAGCAGAGTCCCATTACTGCATCTGTAGCGTTTGTAGAACTTACCATCATCTAAACAAGATGTTAGACAATGGGTCTCTCCATTCATGGACCTCTCTTATCCATAAAATCCTGTGGATATTGGTTGTCTTCAGCTTAATAAAAACCTTCAAGCTTGACAGCACTGGGTGCACAAATAAATGTTTTGCTGAAGCTACAGTAAAAAAGTAACAGCTATATTTGGGTGTCTAAGTCTCAATTGCATTTTAGTAAATACAGTGGTGCATCGCATAACGAGCGATTCTTTTAATGACGAATCCGCATAGCGATGTGTTTTTTGCAATCGCAAAAGCGACCACATTGCAATGTTTTAAATGGTAAAACATTGCGATGATCGGTAAGCGTTTCGCTTACCGATTATTGCATAACGATGTTTTTCCAACAGCTGATCGGCGGTTCCAAAATGGCCGCCGGGTAAAGAAAATGACCACCTGCTTTTTCGCGCCCTTTCCTCGCTTACCGGGCAGCGAAAATGGCCGCATGGAGGATTTCCGCATAACGGTGTGTTTTTTGCCCATAGGAACGCATTAAACGTGTTTTAATGCGTTCCTATGGGCTTTTTTGTTCAGCATAGCGACGATTTTTTCGGAACAGATTATCGTCGCTATGCGGGGCACCACTGTACTGTGATAGCTTTTAATGGGAAATGCTGTAGTGAACTTGCATTGTAAGAACAGCTCTGTTGGACTTTAAATGCTATAGTCGTTATGGAAAATGCTATGATGTTGAAAAGTTTGCAAAGTGAAACTATTTTGAATTCAAAATAAAGACATTAATTAAAAATTGCAGTGCAAAAATTGTTCTGAAGGTAAGTTCTGTCACAAACAAGCTTGTGTATGAAGATTCAGAGAATCATAACATCCATTGTATCAGTATGGTCAAACCTTACATGTGGCATTTTGAATTAAGACACTTTTACAACGCAGCTAACACTTTTGAAAATGATTTAAACTTGTAAAACTGTTTACTATGTGCTGCAGTGGTCTACTTTTCAAAGAAGAATTATATACAGAAACTGACTGATTTTTATACTTTTTCTGTTTCTGTTGTTTACATATCTGGGGAAGAGGTACCCCAAAACTGACTGGCTTAGAAAACTACTCTTGATACATAAGTAAATGTACAAATTATAGCAGAATTCTAAATTCATTTCCTAGAAAATCTGTGAGACAGGCTAATATAAAATTTGTAGTTATTTTTACTTTAGATGCTGATCTGAAAAAAAAAGACTGACTTGGTGTGTGTGCTATAGGGACGTGGTGGTATAGGGACGTGGTGGCGCTGTGGGCTAAACCGCAGAAGCCTGTGCTGCAGGGTCAGAAGACCTGCAGTTATAAGCTCGAATCAACGCAATGGAGTGAGCTCCCGTCGCTTGTCCGAGCTCCTGCCAACCTAGCAGTTCGAAAGCATGCAAATGCGAGTAGATTAATTGGGACCACCTCGGTGGGAAGGTAACAGCGTTCCGTGTCTAAGTCGCACTGGCCATGTGACCACGGAAGATTGTCTTAGGACAAAACGCTGGCTCTATGGCTTGGAAACGGGGATGAGCACCGCCCCCTAGAGTCGAACACGACTGGACAAAAATTGTCAAGGGGAACCTTGTATTAACAGTATTAACTTGAAAAAAATATATGTAGCATTTCAAAAGGTAGAACAGTTGGCATGAGTTCAAGACTGATTTTTTTTTTTGCATCATAGGTTTTCCAGCCAATGTTGATGGAATATTTTACTTACGAAGAATTAAAAGACATAAAAAAGAAAGTAATTGCACAACACCGCTCACAGAAGGAAACTTCAACAGAAATACGTAGAGGTGGTAGTCTGTGGAATCAAGCTGAAGAGCTCCAAAAAGCTTTCAAGTATTCTGTGGATGAAAAAACAGATCAAGGTAAACAAAGTAAATTCAACTTAAATAGTGGTAGCCTTCTGAATGCATGTAATCTAGCTTCTTAGAAAATAATGTTGAAAAAGTCTAGTGGTGAAAAGTGATCTTCTGTAAAACATTTTGCATAGGTCACTTCTACTTTGTCTTCTCTGTGATTGTTATTATATTTAGCTAAATTCTGGTCACGGATCTTTTTCTTTCTGGATCTGCAGGAAAGAGCCGTCCATTAATGGGTTAAGTCAATGTATTCGCGAAGGTTTTCACGGCCGGGATCTAATGGTTGTTGTGGGTTTTTCGTGCTCTTTGGATGTGTTCTGAAGGTTGTTCTTCTGATGTTTTGCTGGAGTTTCTATTCCAGTGCTCTGAAGATGCTGGCCACAGAGACTGGTGAAACGTCAGGACACGGCCAAAGAGCCTGAAAAACCCACAACAACCAATGGGTTAAGTCATTTCTCAGCCCAGTCCAGGAAGGAGTGAACTTAAAAGAATTTAGCAGTCATGCTCCACAAGTTCCTCCCAGTTTACTTCTCCTGCCTTTTCCCAGAACAACTCTCACTTCTTTTCTCCACTTTTTGGCCTTTGATATATCTCTTCTTTCTGGCCTTTTATAAAGCTCCTTTCTTTCAAATTTCACATTTTCTTCTTTTCTCTTAAAAGAAAGAGTATTCAGTCTTCCTATACCTTTTCCCTTACATTGCTTTAAGCCTTTCTTGCTGTTGGTTTTTCTTTTCTTTTTGTCCCAATGAGTAAATCTTGCAAAGTCTCTTCTAAATCCTCATCCATTAAGTGTATCCATGTGGCACCTTACCCAGCTATGTCTGGCATGGGCAGCAGGTGCTTTATTCTCTGGATCACCACCCTTCAGTATTGTCTCCTAAAGTTTTGTGTGGTTTGAGGTTGCCCACCATCCTTTAAATGAAACAGAGCGACTTACCCTGGTGGATACAGCTGAGGCATCAGAAGGGGGAATTGATTTACATTTTTGTTTGGAGGGGTCATGCCTCAGGCTCAGCCTTGAACCCCTTCTGTGTTGGCAGCGAGAAAGGGCTTGAAGCCATCAACTCAAAGGACATGGATCAACAGCATCATAAAGGAAGTTTGCAGGTCCCTGGGGACAGAGAGGTTGGGGCTATTTGCTGGTAAAACCAGGATGCAAGCCACTTTTGAGAGAAACTCTGACTTTTCTAGATGCTCCTCTATTAGAAATATCTAGATGGTGTCTTTGCAGCTCTAAGGCAGGCTGAGGACAGTGGCCATTTGCGATTACTACCTCTTGACATTTATTTTGAATTCTCTCTCTTTAATGAAGATCCTTTAGTTCAGTGATCCTCAACCTTGGGCCTCTAGATGTTCTTGGACTACAGCTCCCAGAAGAACTTTACCACCACCTCTGCTGGCCAGGATTTCTGGGAGTTGAAGTCCAAGAACATCTGGAGGCCCAAGGTTGGGGACCACTGCTTTAGTTAACAAGATTAAAGTGGCTTTAGGGGAGATTCAGGGCAAATTGCAAAGTGCATCCTGTTCTCCTCCTCATATGGACTTAGAGGATGTGTCACCAGATACAGACATGGTTCACTCTGCTGCCCAGTCTTCAGATGGTGGGATCAGCCTCAGGCCATGGCTTGTCTTTTAAAATAACCTTTTTTTAAAGGGCTTGACTCCAGCTATGAAACATATTAGATCAATCCCTTGGAGAATTGAACAAATGGCATTCTCTTTATTACAAAGTAATAACTTATAAGGAAACAGATTTCAATATCAGCTTTTTCCAGTTACAACCCAACTGCACAAAACACAACCTCTCTCTTCAGTAACATTCTAACACTCTCTTTTTTCAGCTCTCTCCAGGCCCCTCATCCTTCAGGGTCTTCTGGATTGTCTGGCCAACTGCAACACCCCCCAGCCAGTCACCTTGTTTCTCTTGTTACTGTGCAGATTGGCTAGGGTTCCATCCAGGGGAATGCTCAGTAGGATGATGATGATTTTCTCCCACCATTATCAAAGGCATTAGCTACATTGGGGTTGCTGCACTGCAGAGCTTCTGAACAAATACCAACAGAATTGGTGCCTAAGAGTTCAGGTTATGGTACATCAGTGTTCTCTAGGTAAACACATCTTGCAGAGATGCTCCCTTCCCAGCATTTTTGACTAACTGATGAAGGCAGAATGAGTAAGAAAAATACTGCTTTTCCCCATAAATTTCAATCCCTGCTGTTCAGGTGAAGGAGAATTTAAAAGTCCCCGTGGTAGACACCCTGATTGCAGCTATGCTTTCAGGTGTCTTGGCTTTCAAAGAAGGGGATGCCCCTCTTATAATCATTATCATTGTTGTCATCTTAGAACTGCAGAACTGGAAGTGGTCAAAACATTCCTAAACAAGCAAGGAGGATTAAGATCCCCTCCTCCCTTCACGGCAAGGCAGTGGTTCTTTTCCACTGGACAGAAATTCATTGTCTGTCTCTGCCTATCCAGCACATTCAGGGAACCACCAATACTATACCAGATTATCTGAACATGCACAGAGTAAACCCAGGAGAATGGAGTCTGAGCACACTGAGGCTCCAACCCATCTTGGACTGATTCAGGGCATGATTAATAGACTTCTTTGGAATTCCAAAACATACCACACTTCAGAGGTTCCTTTCCACATTTTATACACTAGTGGCAGAAGCTCAGATGCCTCAACACTGCATGGACATAAGGAGAAGTACTGCAGCAGTCAGTACAAAGAAAGAGACGAGAATCACAAAGGGGGGAATAAGAGATCTCTTCCAGAAGATCCAAGATATCAAAGGGAAATTTAAGCCCAGATTAATAATAATGATCATGTGCCAATAAGTCGGTTGTGATTAATGGCTATCCTTTTCAGGGTTTTCCATGTAGAGAATACTCAGAAGCAATTTACCATTCCTTTCTTCTGGGACTGTGCAGCTTGTCCAAGACCACACAGACTGGTTCTACTTACAGGAGGCACAGTCGGGAATTGAACTCCCAATATGTGGCTTTGCAGCCAGATTCCTAACTCACTGAGCTATCCAGCAAGCTAAGACTAGATTAAGAATGCTGAAAGACCAACCAAGCACACTATTTGATCAGAAGAAAATAAAGAGAAGGTGGAAACAGTATACTGAAAAGCTATACAAAAGAAATTAAAACGATGAAAGGTTCCTTTGAAGAGGGGTCCTATGACAAAGAACATGCAGTTCTAGAAAGTGAAGTGAAAGCACTAGGAAGAAATAAATCACTCGGGGTAGAAGCAATCCTGGTATATCTGTTTCAACCCAGAGACTGAACCGCAAAATTCTGACAAGAATTTGCCAATAAATATGAAAAACAGAACAATGGTGTACATGTTGGAAATGTTCAATGTATATTCCAGTCCCCCCCCCCAAAAAAGACCATAGCTTTAATTTCCCATGCAAGTAAAGTGATGCTTAGTGTGTTGCAACAAAGGGTTTTACCATATATGGACTGAGAAATGCCTGCAGTTCAAGCTGGATTCTGAAAAGAAAAAGGCACTTGAGATTATATTACAGATATCCCCTGGCTACTAGAATGCGCCAAAAAGTTTGGAAGAACATCAGTCTATATTTATAGACTACAGCAAAACCTTTGTCAGTGTTGATTCTGAGAAACTATGGGTTCTGAAAGAAATGCGTGTGCCTCAGCACTTGATGCATAACATATTTTTGACAAGAGGCTACCATTAGGACAGAATATGGAGAGACAGAATGGTTTCCTATAGGCAAAGAGGTCAAATAACATATCCCCTTATCTGTTCAATCTTCATGCAGAGCATATCATATGGAAAGCCAGACTAGATTCAGAGAAAGAAGGAATGAAAATTGGTGGAAGAAACATCAGTGATTTAAGATATGCAGATAACACCATCTTACTGGCACAAAGCAGCAAGGACTTGAAAAAACGTCTAGTGGAAGTGAAAGAACCAAACTGCATTTGAACATGAAGAAGACCAGAATCATACAGTAATTACAAATAATGACACATCTTTAATATTGACAAGGAAAAAATTGAAATTGTTAAAGAGTTTACATACAGAGTTCAGTCATCAATCCAAACGGAGACTGCAGCCAGGAAACCAGAAGAACATTGAGCCTTGGAAGAGCAGCGATGAAGGAACCTGGAAAGATAATGAAGTGTAAGGATGTGTCACTGGAGACTGTCAGGAACCATATCACCCTAAGGAGCATGGATCGTTCGGTCAGGGAATCCCTCAACCACAAATCTACCACCTTTGCGCTGGGGCAAGTCCTCAACCTCCAGCAGTGCATAGCATTTTGTGCCTTGAATAAGCCTGACCTTAAAATAACACTTTATTTTAACTCAGCACTTTGAAAATACAGACACATGGACTTTGTAGTTCCTTAGAACTTACAACAGCTCAGTGAGTTAAGACTTCTCTAGTAGCTAGTCAATGGCTGTTACCACTCCTCTGGATTGAGTCAAACCCTGCTAATCCAAGAGACCATCCTTGGATCCTGTGAAGACTTTTATAATTAATTTTTATTAAGAAAATATATATAATTTGTTTTTCCCCAAGCATAGCATAAAGAACATGTTCAAAAGAATACACAGTTAAATACAACTAATTCCCATTAAAATAACAAACACTAAACTGGGCTAAGATGGGCTAGCCCTACCTCCTTCTTTTTCCTTACTTACATTCTCATTCTCTTTCAAGCCACATACTCAAGCCATCAATCCATCATTTTGGATCTCGAACAGAACAGGAACTTCACAATAATCTCTCCCACATAATCCATCATCCATTTCTACATTACTCGGACCACCTCCTTCTTGGCCATAAACCAATCAATTCAAAGAGGCGTAACTGTCTGTTCCACCCATAATTCTCATGAAGATGCAAGTGGTTTATCTCCATTCCAATTAGAAAAGGATTTGTTGGGTCTGTGCGCCTCCCGTCCTTGTCCGCTTATCAGGATTCATGCTGTACCAGGCTGGCTGTAAATTAAGAAAAACAA